TTGTTTTATTTGATAACTGTATAAATAAATCACTGGAATAAAAAACCAACAAAACAAACCCAAAGTCACAAGAAGTGTCTAAAGCCCAACTGGGGCTGCCAAACGCCCCCCCCAGTGGGGGGGCACAACCCAAGGCCCCCCATCCTGGTGCTGGGGTGCTATTGCTTTTGAGTTCAACCTGGTTCTGGAGCAGAGCTGGGGACAGCAGGGAGGGGACACAGGCCACCTCTTGACCCCCAGGGGTGCCCAGTGGATGGGGGAGCCAACTCTCCTGATCCCCCCAACCCCACCTGGCAGCCAGGTGCGCCCGGTGGCTGGGGGGCCAGCTCTTGAGTGTTCCCATCCCCACCTGGCAACCACAGGTGCGCAGGGGGTGGGAAGCCACCTCCTGTCCCCCTCCCCAGGAAGGCACACCACGGTCTGTGCAGCTCAAATGGTGTCAAAGCAACCAAAGAAAATAACCTGAAGAACATCCTCCTTCCAAGAGGGCACCCAGAACCCACATCCCACTGGCTTCCCAGTGGATGTGGCCCCCAGCTTGGTGGGGCTGGTTAAGGCATTGGCGGTGATGTTGGGGTGGGGCTGGAGCCCCTTCCCATTATTCCTTCTCTCGTGTCCACTTGATCATGGTCTCAGGGGAGCGGTAGAGGAAGATGAGCTTGGCATAGAGCTCCTCCTCCAGCTCCAGCTCGCCCGTCTCCCGCACCAGGAAGATGTCCTGGCACAGCTTGAGGATGCGATCCACACATGGCAGCTCCTCAAACATGATGGAGTGGGAGATCTCGCTGAAGAAACCCCTCACAAACTTCCCGATCACCAACACGATGGACACGTACAGTCCCATGATCCTGCAAGAGGGACACACATCCTGGAGCCCTGAAGACCACCCTTCATAATGTCAATGTGTTAAAGGGTTGGAAAGGACCTTAAAGAGCATCTAGTCTGAACCTCACATCCCTGGAGCCCACTAGTCCTTCCCTTCATAGTGTCATAGTATGTGAAGCGGTTGGAATGGACCTTACAGGATCATCTAGTCCTACCAAGGACATCTCCAACCAAACCAGGTTGCTCAAGGCTTTATCCAAACTGACCTTGATGAATGAATCATAGAATCACAGAATGGTTTGGGATTGCAGGATCTCAAAGCTCATCTCATTCCACCCCCTGCCATGGACATGGACACTTTCCACTGGCCCAGGTTGTTCCAAGCCCCATCCAACCTGGCTCTGAACACTGCATCCACAACCACCCTGGGCAACCTGTGCCAGTGTCAACCTGTTCATGGCCACCTGCACACCCCACCAGGTGGTTAGAGCCCCCCACCACCCCCTGCCCCACTCCACCTACCCATAGCCAGCCAAGAAGCCCAGGCTGGGGGGGCTGACTTTGTCGTTGAAGATGACCATGGGGAGGATGTTGCTGTCACTGGGGGGAGCATCCTTCAGCCGCACCACCCACCACTCCAGGAAGCTGTCGCCCTCCCGGCTGGAGGCCCTGCGCTCTCGTTTCAGCTGCACCTCCACATCCAGGTAGCTGTCCTCACCATCTGGGGAGGGCAGTGGACACACCATCAGGGCACAGCATGGGCTGGTGTATCCTCAGTGATGATTTTTTTGGGGTGAGGAACACTGGGACCCATGTCCTCTCTGTTCTGCACATGAGCGACATGGTGGAACTCATATCCTACCTATCTTCAGGGGGGTGATACCATCAGGGAACAGCACAGTGGCTGGTGTACCCTCAATGACGAATTATTTTTTTTTAGGGAGGGGACATGGTGGGACCCATGTCCTCCCTATCTGCAGGGGGTTGGCACCATCAGGGCACAGCACAGTGGCTTATGAGCCTCCAATGCTGAATTTTTGAGGTAGGACCCATCCTCCCTTGTCTGCAGCAGGTGACACTGTCAGGGCCCAGCAATTGCTGCTGGTGTGCCCTCAATGCTGCTTGGTTTTGGGGGGAACATGGTGGGACCCATGTCCTGTCTGCAGTGGGTAACACGATCAAGACACAGCTGCTGTACCCCCCATGCTGATTTTTTTTAGTGGTAGGTACATATTTGGA